AAATATTGCAATGCATTAGTTTTAATAAAATTGTATTAGGTCTTAGAATGCTGTAAATATAAAATTATTCTTGTAAATAAACAACCAAATAAATAGTGTTTAATATTTTTGTTTTAAATTTTTAAGAACAAAAAAAAAAGTATAAATTCACTTTCTTTATATATTTAGGTATTTTTTACAATTCTAATCATTGCTTTTTTTTTTAAAACAATAAACATTGCTGAGAAGTGAAGGTAGTTAAAATAATAGTAGTGTCAAACGAAAAACATCCTTTTGACACTATTTTTTTGCAGGCACGAATGTTCAAGATTGCTAAGTAATTATTGATAAATTAATCAATTGATAATTCATATATATATATTTTTCTTGGCTAAAAAAAAAGACATTGCCATTGATTAAGCTCTTTTTGTTTTTTTAATGGCAGCAACAAATGAACAAAGATTTTAATGGTGGAAAGAAATGAATAAAGATTTGAACTGAAATTCATGAAATAAAATTCACTTCTGTGTAATGATTCAGCAATTTTGGTCGATTTGGAGAAGCAAATTGAACTTTAGTTTTAAAAACTTGTCACATCAGTAAAGATGAGTCATTGATACATATAAATGTTAGAAGTATAAAGCATATAAATTTTGTGATATTTTACCACAAAATTTATATATAAGACAATATTGTTTATGAAAGTCTGATTCTAACTTCAAAGACTTTTGTTTATTAATTTTATGTACTGGTAAACTAAAAAAATTTTAATAATTTTTGTATTAATTTTTTGTTCCTGTATATTTTTCTGAAGACTTGTGTAAAACAAACATTTAAGAAATTAATGTATGCTATACAAAAATATAGACAAGGTAGAATAAGATAGAAAATGCTAAAAATATAAATAAGGAAATTTACTTATGAGTGAATGAAATTTTACGGTAAAAATAAAGGGAATAAAACTGAAATAGTAGAAGCAGTAAAGACATAAATAGTTTGCCGAAAGGGTGCTTATACTAAAGGCCTAAGTGAAATGAAAACCTTATGAATCAGTTACAAAATCAAAACATTTTAGACTTCAGATTTTGTAATATAAAAAACTTTGATTGACAATCAAGGTAAATTCTTTTATATTTTTAATGCATTCTTGTACATTAAAAATATGATATAAAAGAATTAAAAGAATGTAAGCTACTTTTCAGAAAAAAAAAAGCTAAAGTATCTTTATAAGACAATAATTCTTACTGAATTTTCTGTACAACATCCATTCTCAAGGGAAGCCCTAGAGCATTTGAAGAGGGTCTCAGACCAAGAAATGTATGAAGGGGAGCCCCAAGGATGGTTATGGTGAAATATGATAAGCAATGGGAAACAAGAACTTTTTGTTTTAGCATATTTGGTTGAGTATCAATTCAGTAATTCTTTGATAAAATCCAGAAACAGAATTTACATTGCAGCAAAAGGTGACCTCTTTATTGTATAATTTGGAGTTTTATATTTCATGAGAAACTTGTAGAAAAAGCACCCAATGCAAGCACTGCCATAGACTTGATAAATATCTCAGTTGTTTTTTTTTAAGTATGTATGAAATTTAAACTTAATATTAAATGAAATTGCATCTTATTGTTGTTTAATAGGTGGCCCTGAAACTAGAGATGTGCACTTAAGGAGACCATAGTCACAAAACAATTGAGAATGGCTGGTGTACATGATGGGGCATTTTTTTAACATTTATGAGTTTTGCTTTAGAAAGCACAAGAGAACTTTAACCATTTTTTTAGAAAAGAGAAAGTTACATCTTATATCTGTAAAAATATGCTTGCTTGTGATATATTTGTCAAACTTGATAATATTCATGAACAAGATAAAATCATTATTTTTTAAGACATTTTTTATGTTTATACGTTCTTTTTATTGATACAAATATTTAAGTAAATGCTCTGTTTATAATAAACAGTATTAACAACATTTACTGGCCTGAATGTCCAAGAAATTTTCATAGAAAATATGCGTCCTCCGACAGGAATCAAACCTATATCCTATATGGAACCGTCATATAGCCTGACATGCCTTAACTGATTGAGCCACAGAGGAGCGTTCAGTTAGCAAAGTCAATTTTACTGTTTTTAACCGAATGTTCCACTGGATAATTATGGAATTTCATTTATTAACCATAACATAGAATTCTATTTCTACAATATCAACAAAAGAATTCATGATATAGTGATTGGTGACTATGTCACCAGAAGAGTACAATCTGCTCATCTCTATAATGATGTAGGATAGTGTTCCATGCACAAAAATTATTATTTCGACATAGCCTTTCTATTCATCTAGATTTTCAAACATTGTTGAAATTTTCAATAAAGAATCCCGAGTAGTAAGACTTATTAGAGTGTTTTACATTGCTTGCCATAAGTTATACAGTTAGCCACATGATGTGATGTTTCAGATGCTATTATTGTGTTTAAGATGATATTTGGTTTTGGGGAATAACTTTTGAAAAAAATCCAGGGTTCAGATTTATATTTTGGTATATATATGTAAAAAATGATAATACATAGTGATATGCATAAAATTAAGTAGTCCAATGTATATCAAGGTGAATAGAATTTCTGCCAATAAAATATTCAATAGTTGTCTAAAGCAATAATTATTGAATCAAAAATAATAAACTTCACAATACTTATCAGATGTTAACACAGAGTTTTGTGATTTCACACTTGTCAAGACTTCAGATAAGAATGATTGTACTGATTATAGAGTATCTATTTATTATTTTATAAACACTTATTTATATATGCTAACTTTCAAATTTACAATTTTTATACACAATTTTGAATTTTGGGTGTTCTATATAACAACTGAAAAGCCAAATTGTTTTATTGAAATATATATATATATATATATATATATATATATATATATATATATATATATGAATGATTGGCTCACCTGCTGTTTTCGACATATGAGTGTCTTTCAGTTCACTTTTTAAGTTTATGTTTCATATGAGACATTAATCCTGCACGGGATTTGCAAACAAGTCCACATGAGGGAAATGCTGAAGGGTTGACCCTCATATAAGCTGATATATTAGCCCAAGATTTAGTGTTGGTTCTTAATTCTCTCAAATGGTTGAGACGATTCTTTTGAGTGTTATAGTCAATGATTTAAATTATTAAATATTAAAATAAGTCTTTTCATTATTAAGTAGATAAATGTTACTTTAGAATACTTTTCTTGTTTACATTTGTAAAAATGTACAAGTGTTTATATATACATATATATATACAAAAAACACACCAAAACAAATCATTACTTGACTTTTCAGTTGTTACAGAGAGCTCACATGATTGACAGTTCCAAATGTAGAAAAATTTTAAATTTGAAAGTTAACATATATAAATAATATAAAATAATAAAATAGACAATTTGTAATCAACACAATCATTTATATCCAAAATCCTGACAAGAAATCATCAAACTTAGACCAAATAAGTATTATAAACTTTATAATTTCTGATTCGATTATATATATATATATATATATATATATATATCCGAATGTAATGAGAATGAAAATAACAAAGTCTAACATTCACAGCATTAATTCAAAAGAGGGCTCAATACTGAGAGTAGAGCAATAATTATTTATAATTTTTTCATAGAGACAAAAATAGTTTACTCACTACAAAGATGCAAACTTGTTTTGGTGCATTTAGTTGCACCTCAACTAGTGAGAACCAAAATGTAGTGAGTAAATTGTTTTTGCCTATATTAAAAAATTATAATATATATATATATATATATATATATAAACACAAATAACAGATTATATTTTGCCAAAAATCGTCTGTCCAAGATAATTCTTTGAAGATAGCATATTTAAGGCAAGAAATCTTTGTAGTTATAGTGCTTGATATCAAGAGAGAGAATTAATTATAATAAATAACAAATTTGTTCACTTAGATTTGGAATGTCTCTAGTTTTATGGAATCGCATCCACTCAGGTGACTTAGATTTCTAAAAATAAATCAAGCTCACTATCAAGTCTACTAAAGAGTGGATATGATTCCATGAAACAGAGTAGAGACATTCAGCAGATAAGTGAACAAATTTATTTCATTCATTTTATTTATATATATATATATATATATATATATATAAAGACTGAGAGAGAAACTTAGTCCTTGTATGCTTCTTGCAGAATGTAAATAAACTGTGCTAATGAAAAAAAAATATATAAAAGAAGGAATAATAATATTATTATTATTATTATTATATATCATTAGGCCAGTAGACAAAGTATGATGAGAAAAATGTTTGAAATTGGAATTTTCAGACACATCTCTATGCTTTCTCAATGAAAATGAAGTTAGAATTTTTTCAAAATTATATTTAAAATATATATTGTGCATGTGCAAGATCTGTTGTAGGATATGTAACGACCATCATTTTTCCATTTTGTTTACTGACCTAATGATCTTTAATAGAAATACTATGATCAGTCTACTATATATATATATATATATATATATATATACACGTTTCATTAAAGATGACTGACAAGGTACTCTACTTAAGCATTTTATTCAATTTTTCTTCCTGACAAATATAGTGAGATTAAAATCCAGGTCTCATGGCTAAAAAGTGAAAGTTCTAACCACTCAGTATCTCATGTGTGTTTATATATATATATATATATATATTTAGGAAATCTGGAAATTGTGTAGCAAAGCCTTGAAATTTGGAACAGGGAATATTTGATGTTTGTTAATCAAACTGATGATTAGTAATAGATTAACCATGTAATTGACACAGAGATCAAACATGAGACAAGTTTATCAAAAGAGATATGTTTTAAATGCTTGCATTAATATGATACTTGTTAAATAAATTGTTATGGTTATTTGGTTATCATTAAAATGCAGTTAATAAATACTGATAATTAACATGAAAAATAAGAAAAATAAGGTCAGTAACATTATAAGTTGCATTATAAATGATTGTATATTCACCTGGATTGAGGTAGGTAGATTGTTGCTGACTTGGTGATGGGGGTGTTGATGACTGTTGTAGTCGTTGGTCATTTGACACATACTTTGTTCCAGGAGGAACACCTACAACTGCCATGGCCTGAAAAACAACAAAAATCCCAATAGATTTCTATGCTAATGATGAAATGACATATTTGTTTTACATCTTATTATAAAATGCAGATTTTTTTTTTTTTGTGTGTGTGTGTGTGTGTGTGTGTGTGTGTGTGCCTGTACGTTTATATATTGGTTTGGATTTCCTACATTTTTCAACTGATTTCAACAAAACTTCACACGACTGCGTAAAATTACCTTGCAGTGGTTCTGACAGTGCCAAAAATTGGAAAAACACAATTGTTTTTGCATGAAATCAATTTGAAAACACAATAAAACGATTCTGTCACCAGAATGAAAGGGGACAACTCATATCGAGTTATACTTATTATAAAACCCATGTTGTTTTGTGTGTGTGTGTTCGTTTATATATAGGATCAGATTTCCTACATTTTTTCAACAGATTTCAACAAAACTTCATTTTTTTTTGGCAGGTGTTTCTTATTGTCTTTTTTTTTTTTTTTCTTTATTTTTACATTCAGAATGCTTTAAAATTCCATTTACAAGACAATTGTTTATAATAAAATTCTATTCAATCGATAGACTCATAATGATTGAAAACAATGTTTTTGTTTGAGTTTGGGTTTGACTAATTCGTAAAAAAAAACGAAAAAAGAAAACTAATTAAGATATGCGTGTCTGTCAACCTTAAACAATAATCTTTGTCAATTTTATTTTTCAGTCTTTATGATTGTCGATGCTTGATCTATCTCTTACTGTTATATCCCTGGGCAACACCGGGCTCTACTGCTAGTAGCAAATATTTATTTTTCAGCATAATTGTAGTCCTAGTTAATGCACTTAATCTATCATACAGTGAAAATTTCAAACCAAAATTCAGCTCATAATCTTGTCAAGCTATGGACATATTGACTCATCCTTATGGTGTGTATGTGTGTGTATATATAAAATCTACTTTATTCTTTTTTGTCTTCTCCTTTGTTCATTCCTTCATATATACAAGAATGGGCTGACTATGAAGGAGTGATGCTGAAGCTGTGAAATCTTGCATTCTTTAATTTCAACTCTTCTTATTGATAACTGCATTTTTTTCTTTCCAGGTAAACTGACATCTGACTCTTCAAAGAAGACTGTTCATCCAGTTGGTCAAAAAAGTCATCAACAACAGATATGGCATCATCACTGTGATACTTGTTTCCAGTCAAGTGTTTTTTCATGTTGTGGAACAAATGATAGTCAAATCAGGAGAATAGGGAGGATGGTCAATCAGTTCAAAGCTATAGTCATGCACAGCAACCATTGAAACCAAGGACTTGTGTGCTGGAATATTGTCTTGATGAATCAAGATTCTTTCGTCAGTTTTCCTGTGCATTTGTCTTGATAGCCTTTTGTAACTGCCTCAGCAAGTTGGTAGAATACTTGCCATTGATGGTGTGTCCCTTTTGAAGATAGTCAATAAACATAATGACTTTTGTATCCCAAAAAAACTGAGGCCATCACCTTCCCTGTAGATGAAATGACCATGGCCTTCTTTGGAGTAGGCGAGGTGGGGTGTTGCCATTGTATGGATTGTCTCTTTGTCTTTGCCTCAAACTGATGAACCCAATACTCATCCTGGGTTAGGAAATGTTCAAGGAAACAAGCTGAATCTGCCTCAATGTCAGATTTTCCCAGATATTCTCAACTCTTTCATGGGATATGCTAATAGCATTGGTTATTTGATTTATAATCAATTGCCTGTCATCCATCACCATGTGGTGAACATGATCAATGTTTACCTTGGTGATGGCAGCTGCAGCAAGTTCAGACCTTGGGTTATCTTCGAGACTAACTTCCCATCCTAAATTCAGTAGCCTACTTTTGCACTGTTGATAAATCTGAAACATCATCCCCTGATGTAACAACCATGTCATCATGAATATCTTTGGGGGATAAACCCTTTTTCTGCAAGTACTTGATATCACCACAATGTCAAATTTTGTCCATTTTCAAGAGAAGTGATTACTACTAGTTAATATTGAAGTCTTCTTTTAACAGTCAGATCTCAATTTACCTGGAATGAAACAATGCAGTTATTAATAAGAAGAGTTGAAATTAATGTATGCAAGATTTCACAGCCTTCATAATCAGCCTATGAATTTTTCAGTCCACCTTTGTATGTTATGTTTTAATTGTATCTTCCAATGTCTTATCTGCAGAATAGTAGACAAGTTTTTTGTTCTTCATTGTTCCAAATATTGATTATATAGTCTAATACTTTGTAGATTAGACATGGCATAGATTTTATTTTGTTCCTGTCTGTATGCATCTGAAATCTAGTGACCAGTAAAGAGAATTCTCACCTGAGTGATTTAATAAATAACAACAATACTTTCTCTGAGAAAGAATAAAATGTATGAAACAATGTTAAAAACAAATGTGAAGATACATGTACAAATGACTGACTAATAACAATACTTGGAATGACAGACAATAGTAATATAATAATAATAGTAATATTAGTCATTGTCATTCATTAACTGAGCAGCAAATGCTAGCATCAGTTGAAATTTATAAAATCTTTCTCTTAAAATAGTTTTTCATTAAAATAGGTTTCTCAAGTTCCCTAGCTGTTAGCACACTTTCCAGTATTGATGGGAGCTACCTTTCTAACCTTTTAGTGTAGTGTGGAACATTAACATTATGATTATGATATTTTCTCTTTGAGTAACATGTGCTGTCCATTTTAGTTGTTGCTGCTGTTGAAAGTTCTCAAGTGATGTGGTCTCTGTTATTTGGTACAGATCTTTGTGATTCTGTGGTGTCCGTCCACTAGGTTCGAAGAATGATAGTAAATGCTATGACCAATAGGCTTCATCTACTCAAAGACATTTTTAATCATTGACTTGAGAAAGTAGTTGTATACAGTTGACAGTTTCTAAATGGGTTTGGTACTATGCATGATATCTACATCAAAGTCTCAACCTGATGAAACTTTTTAAGAACATGACAATAGATATCCAAATCCAAATCTAGGGTTTTTGTCATTCCTGCTGGAGGAAGCTCTCTTCGATTGATTATGTCTTTGGGTGTAGACTTACTCACCATGCTTGGCAAATTGCATGTTGGTGAGGCTATTTAACATATAGTTGGAGGTTTTGAATTCAGAACTGTACTTCCACCCAAGGCTATAGCATTCAGTCTGTCCTGCTATTTATCCATAGCTGGGGGGAGAAGTGATGGATTCACACCTTTACTAAAGGGTATTTAGATGTAAATGAAAAAAAATGAACTTGACTGGAATTTGAACTTGGCTCTCCAATTCCTCAATCTGAGCTTCTATTCATTACTCCACCATACCACCACAATAGATATAAAAATAATAATAATAATAATAAAAAAACACATACCTGTCTTTGAGCTAACTTTAATGGTTGGGCAATTTTCTTAACCAAGGGATTTTCATCACTGCCTTGTTTTCCAATACAAGACAGTTTAATTGAAGCTCCTCGCTTGCTGACTTTCCTGGGGGGTGGGGAGGGGGGTGTCTGTTCACGCTCATAATCACTGTCTTCTTGTGGAAGACTGCAACACACAAATTAAAATTTTGTTAGACAAGAACAGAACATCCGAAAAAGCGTATAACAACAAAAAGAGAAAAACACATTTGCTAATTTGCTAAAACCTTGATGCCATTTTATTACATTCAATAAATCAACAAAATAGATAGCGACAAAAGACTTGCTTAAAATTTATACAACCAATGGAAAAAAAATATTTTAGCTCAAGGACAAGATTTTATATATATATATATATATATATATATATATATATATATATATTTTTTTTTAAAATAAAGGAATACTAACCACTTATGCTACCATGGTTTTCACCAATAAGGTTTCCTCAGGCAGTAGAGGTTAATTGTATTTCATAACACTGCTTATTTGTACATTCTCTTAATATTCTGCTAATAATATATATATATATATATATATAATTTATATATTTGACAAATGATCATCATAAATATACATTTTAAAAAATTGTTTAAATGAAGCATTAACACTACTATTTTATTATATGTCTTCCTACAACTTATTGCTGCTTTTTCTCACAACACTAATTTGAGTAACTCCATTATTACTATTATTTTATTACTAGTTTTACTTCATCTTTTTATTACAACACTCTTTGATTAGGGGAGTAAACATTGTGAAATCAGAAATAACACCAAATAGGAAAGACAAAAACCTATTCATTAATACTCAAAACTTTCAGAAGGGCTAGGACCATCAAAAGACTCCATATTTATACCATTACATAAGTTTTTTTTAATCAATTCATCCCAAGTAAAGTGATAATGCCACTAAGATGTAAGAGCCTACTGGGAGTGAAAGAAAATGAGAAAATTTTAGAAGGAAGCAGAAACCCAATCCTAAACAGGAAACAAGGAATAAACCTCTACTCCTGTTCAAAAGACTGGGGAGGTGTGTGAACCAAAAGATAGTTGGACCTATCTACTCCTGTCTTGTTAGAGTGCTGTTTAAAAGATGAGATTATTTTTGATTCACCTGAACATTTTCATTATCAAATGCTAAAGTTCAGTTAACTTAATTTAGTGAAATTATAGTTTTGATTCATTTCAAGAATACTTTAGTTGCAACCAAACTTTTTGACACCAATTTTGCTATAACTTTCCAAATCTGGAATTGATCATTTTAGAAAATATATTTAAATATAATTTTCTCTAAAATTCCTCACTGAAAAATGGTGCAATCAGTTTAGCTATCTTGAGAACCATTACAACTATATACACAACCATCTAACCCACCAAGCAAACATTATTTATTCCTTTTGACACAATGCCACTGTAGTGGAGAACATGTGGAAACCAAATTTATTCTACATGTAATTGTATACCAGAGACTAGCTCGTTAGACATAATTCTACTTGTGCCTGATATTAGTAGTTCTTTACAAAGTTTGGTATGTCAAAATGGATTATTTTTCTGCATTAGGAAACTAATATGTGAAGAGAACTTGATCACTGCTGTGCTATGGTAATGCTATACTTTATTATTATTTTTATAAAAAAACATTCAAATGTTTATCATTCAAACAGTGTATTATAAACTTTTTAGTTTTTTATCTTTATAAACATTAAAAATACTTTTGCAAAATTTCATACTTTTGAATGATAAAATTAAAAAGATAATGTCTCAATAAAAATAGTGATACTTTTATGAAGTATTTTGTTATTAATACTGGGATATAAAAAATATATAAAAATATAAAGTGGGAAAATTGGATTGGTTCTGTTAAAACAATGGAATATTTAAAGATATTTTAAATTAAATTGAAAAGTATGAAAGATACACATTACATCTTTAAATGAAATGAAATTATGTGTGTAATATGGCCAAGAAATTGTCTTTAATGAGAATCTTTTGTTTTAATTATCAGAAGTCTTTTTGTACATGGTTAAAATTTTTTAAAGAAGTTTTGACCTCTGCAATATTAAAATAAAAAAGACAAACAAAAGATGTTAGGTTATCAGAACAAAGTGAATGAGTGAAATCAAAATGAGTGGGTATCAACAATAATGCTTAGTTTGTTATTGATTCATGCTCCATGCAACTGTTATTCTTTAACCGAAACATGAGAAAATGACATTTAAAAATTGAACATTTAAAAAAAAAAAAAAAACTCAGAGTTATGGAAATGTAATATTGGATGATAAAAATGATCAAAAGTCATATACAAATAAAGAGTATTCAATGAAAAAAAAAGAAAGATGAGTTGTATACATCTAAGTTAATTTCCTTTTTAGGTTAATCATAGCTTCTTGTTCAAGAAATTATTATCAATTCCTACATGTATAGAGCAAACACACATTTGTTATAATATAAGAAATTAATCTAGCAAATCCTTCCAATTCCTATAAAGTGAGCCTGAAGTTCTGAGAATCAAAGACAAATTATGCTTGATTTATGATGATGACAGAGAAAGTTTCAGCAGAAATATTTTATATTTCTATTCAAGTATTTATTTAAGCCATTTATGACAATATTGTAATTGAATGGATTTTTATACTAAAGTGTATTCACAACATTCCAGGCCAGATATTCAATGATATGAAACCTGAATTAACTGTACATACAAAGATGTTGTTTTGTTAGTGAACTTCAGCTGGAAAATCAAGACAATGTTCTACATTACCCAATCTGAAACAACTAGCATCCATCATTGTTTATTGGTATATATAGAAACAAAATAATTCTGGCAATGGTTCTCTTTACCTGACTTCAGATTTACACTATTGTTGACAAAGGCAACCAATTTTTGTCAGGTGGTTAAGCACAGTAGTTAGTTTAGAATCAATTAGATGTATTTCCAGAGAAAACTTTTTATCAGTCTTTTAAGTATGCTCTCATATTTAATAGACATTGCCTGATTTTCGCTTTCAAAGCATTGCTTGAAGGTACATGTTTATTTTTCTATTTGTTCAGAATAAGTTCAATAATCTGAGTATTTACAGTATCATTCTTCAATGTATTATCCTGGAGTTAAATTAAAAATTTAAAAGCAAGAATCCAGTTCTTTCTCTGTTTTGTTTTATTGCTGGTTGTCTTGAAAGTTTTGTTTCAATTACATTACAGGGATAAACAAGAGAAGTTTTTTTTGTGGTAACAAAAGCCACACAAAAATTAACTGAATATTGGATGTCTTGTGTAATTTGAAGAGGAGATAGGTTATTTTGCAGTGCCTATTTTGCTTTAATATCATCACCCATAAGTGTGCAGTAAAATCAAAGATTCTTCCCTGCCACTGATGCCATGTAATATGTACCTAATAATCTTTGGAAAGAAAACAGACACTGTCAAGTAACATTCCTTGCTTTAGAGAAGCCACCCTGCATCCTTAAAATCTCTAAGATCATAATATGAGAGGGTGCTGAAAAATTCTTGTCCCAAGTTGAAATCTGACCAAATAACAAAACATAATTGGAAAGTGTTACTTCTTGATTTAGGCTGAGGACTTTTCAATATTCTCATGTAATAGTGTCAGGTCATAGATTCTTCTGTTATTGGCATCATGTAAATCAATATTATTGCCTGTTCTGTAGAGAGGAGATGGGCATTATTTTTTCAGCTTTCCTTTTGTCTTAGTTTTTCTTCTGTAATAAATTATTTTGGAGGGAAGTTCTGATTTGAGATTTCCTGTGAAGATTACAATGGAATGCCACATGAATAAAACAAATGTCTAGGCGCATAAGAAAAAAAAATCCTAAGATGTAAAGAAAAGTTTCTAATCTGAATTTCAATAACTGAAAGACGAAGAAATGTTAATTAGTCCTGATGAAATAGGATAACGCCATACTTACTCTCTATATACATAAATATCCTGTCTTCGATCAGGAGGACCTGGATGGGTCACTGGCACTCGATCAGACATGCGGTCAGATGATATTCTATCTGAAATCCTGTCTGACTCTTGTTCGTGGTCACTGACCACAGATGCATAATGCAGACGTGGCTGGACACTCCGATTCATGTCACCTACAACTGTCCGCATGGGTATGCTCTCTGTATCAGAATCATGGACCTCACTTGGCCTGCTTTCAAGGCCCTCTTCATTGTCAAGAACTGAGTCAACTTCAAGAGAAGACTGTTCGCTGTAAACATATGTCAATATTAGTTGCGTGATTGCAAAGATGACAGCAGCAGCAGCAGCCAATCAAGGCAGAAACAAAAGGACAGTCAATGAAGGCTCAGATTTTACTGAAAATTTTAAATGTACAAGTATTTATGAAATTATTTAATATTCTTCTTTTAAACCAGTGGGTCACAGAGTCTCAGGTCAATTTGATACCTTTCCTATTTTGAATTGTCATCAAGTAATTTTGTTCAGTTATATTTTTGACTTTTTTATATATATATATATATATATACATACATACATATATATATATATATATATATATATATATATATATATATATATATGCCTGAAATTCCTTTCTTGGTTTAAATTCCTTTCCTTGGAGCAAAAGTACTCTGATTTGAGAATGACTATATTAAATACATTTGTTTACTTTGTCAAAACTGATTCATTTTGAACCTATTGTGCAAAGAATATGTTCATAGATACTAAACTTTATGAAGGTCATCCATTATAGAGATGGTTTTACAAATCATTATTACTGTAATGAGTTTGATCCTAATTTAGTGCCCCAATATTTGTGTTCCTCTCATACTAAACTTAGTAAATATGTATTTAATACTTTGCTTACAATATTTTGATTGGCACATTGGTAGATTACAATTATTTTTCCACTGCTAAAAATAAGAATCTGGACAAAAAAAGAAAACATTTTGATACTTTAGTATTCTAAATGGTGTTGTCATGGAAACATGCTGACAAATAATCACCATCAAATCAAGAAGGAAGGAATTTTGAAAATTTAGTGTAGAGAAGTAGATTTTAATTTTAAGGGGCAAAGCCAATGTGCATATTATTTGTTATCAAAAAAGAGGGTCAGTAATATTTGAGAGGATCTATTATTATTATAATTATTATTCATTGGCGAAGTAAATAAACTTGTGTATCAATTCCAAGCACAAAATACATTTTGTTTCAGAGTTGTAAGTGCAAGAATAGAAACAATCTTTTGTTTTGAGGATTTATCATTAGAATCTTTCTCATAAAATCTGAGCTTTGATTGAACTGCCATTGTCTGATGGGAAAATCTTTTCCACATTTTTCTGGAGAATAAGCCAGAAATAAAAATGGCTTCAAATGAAAAGAAATGGTTTTAATTTCACAGTAGAAAATACAAATTATTTAATAAATTCAATCTGTTAAAAAAATACATTATTATTTAGAACATTTTTTTTCTCTTCTTTTCAACTAAATTCTGAGACACATAATTCAGTACTCGATAAATCTTTGCCTATTTTCTTAAACACAATTTTTCTATTCCAATTTCTTTCCCTTTTTCTAAATTATGCATAAAGCAAAAGACTTTAAAAGAGAGATATTCTAAAAGGTATAACTATTTTATTATTGTGTCAGGGAAAGCACAATTTTCATTATTGAACAATGGATTTGTTTGGTTTAGTGAACTTGTTATATTGCTTTTGTTGCTACACCATGTTTTAACTGATCAATTCTACAACCTTCTTCCAGTGTACAAAATACTTGATAGTTTGAGGAATTTTAACAGAATGCATGATCCAAATACAGTATGAACATTTACTGGTACCTTTGTGAGTCAATGGGACCACTTCAAAGATTGTGAAAGATAGGTGTTATTTTTCATGGTCAAATTCTCTGTTTTCAGGTAGAACCTTTGAATAAGGTCAGTTTGACTTTCAATGTGGTATATATATATATTTTTTTTTTACTTAGTAGGGAAATTACAAAAGAGCATCCATGTCTATAAAAATTAGGGAATCATCTGTTTCATACAGGTTGCTAAGAATTGAATTGTTTGTATGCCACACATTAGGTATAAACTGAGAATGTATAAGAATGCTTTTGCCATTATTTTTTTGAAAAAAAAGAACCCCACCTCTTTCCTTAAATGCACACCTGAAGAAGGCTGTAGAATGGTTCATTTGAAACACTGTGTTAACAAAAAAGCAACATAAAGAATAGCCAAACAACAAAGTATTGTAGAAGATAATTGACTTGTTTATTCTGTAATTGATAATAAATAAATTGATCTATGAACTTTAACTGCTGAAAACAATTCATTTGTTAAATAAGAGATTGTAACATTATGTTTTTACAATCTGACAAAAATAAAGTGTTGATGAACACCCATAAGTACACATTGACCAATGGTCAATCAAGAAAGTCTCAGATGTCAAGGTCTCTGCTAAATCAGACCTGTTTCTGGAATTAGTACTTCCTTAACAATAAAAAAAATCAGAAATTCATCAAAACCAAATATGATTGCTTCATTTTTCCCCATTAAATCCTAAAAGAAATTTAATCTTAGATTAGATCTTATAACCATTGTTCTTTAACAAATCCACTGGAATGTGTACATTCCAATGAGATATTCCAAGTTTTATTAGATTATAAAATAAATGGTTAAGTAAGACATGAAAATCTGGTTAAAGAGACTATCCTGAAGAGGTTCACAAGTGAGACAATCACATTAATGATACTGTGAGTTAAAAACCAGTATCTTTGTTAAAAGCATCATGCCACATGCTTAAATAATAGTTGGATCATTACAATGTAAAAGCAGACCAAATTTTATTTCTATAAGATTTAGTCAAGCAGACAGGTTTAAAAAAGAAGAAATTTGAACTTGAAAGATTAATTTGCAACAAAGATTCCAAAGCATATAACTATACACAGACATTAGATGTGTCAATAAATCACAATAAGTAAAAGCAAATTACATTTATTGAAGATCCGATGATATATTCTTTGTATAAAGTAAACAATATGCATATGTTGGAAAAAGAAGTAGCTATTTAATAGAATTAAATATGTTCGCTTATTTTACATCTACTCTGAGAATCATATAATTACATCCACTCTTCAGGAAATTTAATTCTCTATTTTTGTCAAAAATCAGTCCTTACATACATCTTATACACATTATATATAATAATAATTTTTTTTCCCCCTTTATATGACTATTTGGTAATTGATTTATTTTTTTTAATACCAGTTATTAATAATAATTTTTCTTATCAGCATCTGTTTCATATTGCCGACGATTCTGTTTCTGAGGAAGTGCCGGCCGAAAGGTGCCTAAAAACTTTTTCTTAAATGAGATACTTTTGCATCTATTTTAATAATAAAAAAATATGATCCTTTTCCTTAAAGTTATCTTGTCTTGGTGTGGCACTAAGAAAAACCTGTTTTTATATATATATATATATATATATATATATATAAAATTTAAACGTTATATATTTATTACTTTAAATGTTATTTTTAGTGGATACCTGTATTTGAGTAGACACTCAATTTATTTTAATCAGCATTTTATTTTATCTACCTGTCAGAAGACTTGAGAACACTTATTTGCAGAAGAAAGTGCTGTTTAATTTGACATGCTTCGACCAAGTGGCTACAAAGAGCTTAACAATCAAGCAAGGTTCTATTTGCCTTTAAAGTGAATTTTAATAGTTCAGATTTTCTTGAAAGTCATAACTGCTCAGTTTTATATCTGAAATGTAAACAAAGCAATTTCTAAAGAATTAATAGATTTATTTATTTAAATATGATCACGTCATGAAGCAGGCATAATATCTATCTCACGCACGGTGAACACTAGACCTGGCTTCTTTAATATTTCCCCTTTTCTAGCAAGATTAATGCTCGACAAACGTACATATAAGTTTTAGATCAAAATAAAATTCTTTTCGTTTTTCATTCAAAATACTCAAATTTTAGGAATACGCTGATCTTATAAAAGATTTCAGTTATCTGTTTGGATTGGTATTGCTTTTATGTCCATCGTCTTTTTCATGTTGAATTGTATATGGTCTATGTTAATTATGTTTTATGAATATGTCCTGAAGATGGTCTATTAGACCAAAACATCTGACGTTGACATTAAACATTAAAACAGCATAATCGTATATTAGGATTTTTGTTTGTTTTTTCAGTATATTTTTCTTCATACTGTCGGATCTATATCCATATATTTGCTTACATATATATATATATATATATATATATATATATGGGTGTGGTGGAAGAATATATATATATGGGGGGGGTCAAATGCTAGTTACAATTTTACATTGAGAAATGCTAGGGACATAGGAGTACCCCAAAATAATTGTTACATTTGCATCTGTATTTCATACGCTAAATATAACAGCGATTAAGTGCCAAAGATAATATTTCTTATTTTAAAGGAATAGAAATTTCATATTCTGAAATTCATATCACATTTTTTAATTAAATTCATCAACCAAATTATGTTGTCTTAGTTTCTGAGATTATATATTTTTGTTCCCTGAATTATCCTGTTGAATATCCTCATCTTTGTTGTTTGAAGCACTGTTTGAATAAATGCAATCATTGGCCTTCTTTACATGAATAATGAATTATTCAATTTGTTTGCTTTCTGGAACCATCTCGGTGAGTCCAATTCAATGTTCCTAATATAAAAGATTGCCTTTGTCTAGAAATCTTTGACATTTAGGTCTTTTAATTATCTCATTTTATTATTGTAAAGACTAATAAGAATACAAAACGAAGTCTTTCATACGTAAAATTGTTTATTCATTTTGGACTTTGTCAATTAATGTTTGTATAAGAGTGTGTTGTTGTGGGGGGACATTCACTGATGAGGACGTGAGAGACTATCTTTTCTCTCTTGGGTGGGGCACTTATATAACTTCCTGTCATATGGCTGCCACACTAAGTTCAGCTTAGACAACCTCCTGCATACATGTCAGAATCAGCCACCGTCATCCTGTGAGGCATGAATTTGCACTTGGTCATCCTTCCAGGTCAACTTTCTGATGCCACAGTGCAAAGTCTCTTTTGATATCTCTTAGGGTTAACCCAGTATATACTGGGGTTATCACTGATCAATTTCTTTTAGAACAAAAGTTCTTTACTGACATTAAATTTGATTCAAGCTCCTGATATTTTCTGGTATAAATCACATACTACAATTATATTCAATAA